TATAAGTAGAGACCTTTAAGCAAATCAGTAAATAAATAGGAATTAAAAAATATATAAACTATTAAACAGTTTAGTTACAACCCAAAATATAGTATATTTGCTAAACTTTTTATGTGATTCCCGAAGTACGACATTGGAGTGCGTGTGTAAGCAGTCTTGAGCTTTGTTATAGATCTGTTATAATTTACAAGAAGACTAGTGAACTACTATATAAAGAGTTATTGTTTTATAAGGTATACACTAGCTTTCGTATATTGAAAGGAATTATTATTAGTCTCAAAAGCGTAATTGGTCTTCTTAAAATTTTCATTTAATCTTTGTTTATCACAAAAGATTCTCAATTTTTCTCTTTTGTCAACTGCGGTATTCCATGGAAATTTCCAAAACTTTTCAACGTTAATATGGCAATAATTTAAAGTAATGGCCCTAACGACTAGAAGAGGAAATCAATTTTGAAGCAAAGTGAAGTTATTAAAAACTACATGCTGTTAGTAATCCGATAAATTCATTAGAGTTTACATTAAAATTATTTAGATAATTTATGAAGTTTTCATCTTTTAAAGTAGACGGTGTGTATTGAACAGTCTTAATTAAAATCTCTTTTAATCTCTAATATCAAAAGATGCTAACAATAAGTTTTATAATATAAGGAAAAAGATATTACCTTTACGTCTTGAGGGTCACCGTAACAAACCATACTAACTCTTTGATTATTTTAAATATTAACTTTTTAAAAGTAAATAATAATAGTTTATTCATGTATTACAAGTATGTAATCTTTAAAATATAGCCTAAAAAAGTAAATTATGATCTAATCTTATCTTTAAACAACGATCTCGGATTAATGTATAGCAATGGTAGTACGAATAGTAAAAAATATTGGGTTATTTAGCCTTCTTACGCTAACTCATTAAAGCTAGCGTATATTTTTTATCCTATTTTTTTGTCTTGTTTACCCGAAATATGTATTAAAATAAGCACTCTGAAGATAGTAAGCTTGCATAAATAATTAAAAAAAGCGGTTAATTTTCTTTCCAGTTGTCTTTATAAATACTTAAAGGCCACACCACTCATTTGCAGTAAACCTTCACATTTACACCACAACGACTAAAAAAAAAATAAGAAAATATGCGATTAAGTTAATGTAAAGATCACTTGGTCCAAACTAGATAATAATTGCTTTTTATTTAACCAAGAAGAACTGGATTTTTAACTACATTACGACTTAATGGACGGCTTTTGCCTTAATATTTCCTTTTTCTTAATAAAGTTATGGTATTCCGGCTACTAAGATAAAAAAATTTTGAAGTTGGGCCTACCGTAAAATAAATAATGTAATAATTATCATTTATTGCAGTAGACTTACCCTCTTTGCTAATAAATCAACAAATAGTTTTGTTCTAAAGTCGTGAAGCATTCTTATTAAGCAGGCTCAAATGAAACCTTTTAATCAAGTGCTTCACCCCTACTTTAAAGAGGATGTTACCGCCATGAACATTAAAAAGTTTTTAGTTTGTCTTACGAACCTTAATTTTAAAAGGATTTGTTCACAGATATCACTATCGCTATTTAATGAAGAGTAATTACATTCAAATTTAATGGATTTTGAAAAAAATATAGGCATCTCGATTTATTAAAAAAATTAAAAGTTTTAGTCAAAATATGAAAATATATGTGTAATACTGTATAAAACATAATAAAGGACAGAAATAACTATCCGGCGCGTACCGAAAGCATCTTTAACAAGAGTTTAGGTTCACCTTTATGGATTTATTTATAGCAGCAGCAAAAAAAATATGGTTTTTTATAGGAATTAGCTTACGAGAATTTAGAACAAAGCGAGTATAGTTAACAAACCTAAAGAGGTTTTTTTGTAGTCTAACAATCTATTAGTTTAACATTCGAAGTAGACCTAAAAGTGTAAGCGTACACCACATTGAACAGATAATGTATGTCTATAAACAATTATTAAGGTAAACTCTGTTCCAGCTCTCAGATTGCTTAGGGAATACGTAATCTCAGTGCCTGCATAGTGGGGAGAAAGAATTAATAAGAAAATTATTTGAACTTAGTTGAGTTGGATAAAGATAATAAAAGACTAATAAATTAAAATTAAATAATAAATAGGAGACATAAAAGGTGATATAATAAATTTTGAGTAATTTTATAAAAAAATAATATTATAAAGTGAATATATACAATTTATGATAATACACTAAAAAACTTAAAAGAATTTTATTAAAAACGACATTGTCTAAGGTTTGAAATACGCTAAAAGTCAAGTAAAATGGCTGATTATGGATCAGTGTTTACCTTTTTGTGTGTATCAAGAGAGTATTTAATTTATTTCTTTGTTCAAAATGTCTCAAAAGTTCTTAACATGGAGTTTATAAAAAATCCGTTTAAAGGGCATCAGCTTTACTTAATAGTAAATTGAAAGGTTTTTTTCTAGTTCTAATTTTTAATTGCTCCCTTTTTTTCCTCGTATTTATCTGTTCAGATCTTACAACGACGCTAACTGTTTCCTTACAAGTAGTAAACCCTTTCTTATTATTAAATTTAATCAAAATCGTAAGTTTATTATTATAGTCGTGGATTTTGAGCTACAGAATATAGCAATACTGTTTTCAATTAAGGCTAGTATTACGATTGTTAGTAAAACAATGACTTCCACAAAGTCTGCGCATTAACGCAAAGATAAAAGTATATTTTAATGGTCTCCAGTACTTAAGTCACTTTTTTTTTTAAGTTAAATTTTCCGTTCAACAGTAACGTTTCTTGTGCTAAGTTTATGTTGCTTACTTATTTGAAAGATTAGTTTTCATTTATATAGGCAGTAACCTTCATAGTAAAGTGTATAATACCTTCCAGTTTCATTGCCTTTCTGAATTAAAGTGAACCCAAGTAAAGATATAATCTTGTCAAAATTATGTAAAGAGAAGGCATTTAAATTATTTTAAGGCCCCTCTGCATGGATTATTAAACGGGTTTTTAAATAAGGATACGAGGATAAGTAATGTACAAACAAGTTAGCTTCATCTCTTGCAGAAAAACCATACCATCTCCTTTGTATATAGGTGGTATGTCCAGACAATAGTGAAAAAGATTGATAGACCTACAAAACTCTAATTATGCGTAGCCTTTTGGAGTTATTCTCTTTAACATTTGTTTCAGAGCTCATTATTCAAGCCTATTTATTTCCTCTTGAAAATTTTTAAAAGTTAGCCATTAAGTATATCAAGCAGTAAGTTAGAATACAGAGAAAATATGGTCTTCATTAGTCTACCAACTTAAATTATTATTAAAGTAAAAATAACAAATAAGAACTTAAATTACTGGGTGCAAGTTTCCCTTCGAAATTACTTCTAACAGCTCTTTTAAAGAAAAACAATTAGGCATTTCCTTCTTGCTATTAAGCTAAATATCTCGGACTAGTTATTAAATACAAACTATTATGGAAGAATCCTGAGAAGGAAGTATACCGCAAATTTAACTTACTTTACAATAGGTATCATATTTTTCTTTTTGTCATTATTAAAAGGTGCAGTTCCATAAATTTGTCATCCTAAATTTTTTAAAACAACCTTAATATTGCTTTTCCAAAACTAAAGTATAAACTTAAGCTATCTCTTGACGATTATATTGTTAAAATTGTAGCCGAAATACAAAGATGTTATTCGTTTCCATATTGAGCATAATTGCTATTGCTACAAGAAAATATCCTAAAGCCATTCTATTCGGTTGAAGGACTAAGTTTAACTAATATTGAGAAAACAAAAACTTTAAGATAAAAATTCTACTTTTCCACTATACACCTTTGAAGTATATTACACTAACTGAACTATTAATTTTAAAATATTTTGTTAGTAATCGTGGCACAATGCCAACTTGTTCTTTTATTTGCTTTTATTAAGAAAAGAAATTAAATAAAGATTTAAACGGCAGGCTCTGCAAGTTTAAATTTAGGATTGAGAATCTCAAGTTACTTGAAAACTTGTGATCCAACTCAATAGACCGCAGGGAAACTCCGAACTTAGAAGGGGTCGTCCTAATTCTCTCTAAACTTTTTTTAAATCATTCTAGTTTTTGTTGTGTTTCTTGTATAAACTAAGGCTTTAAAGATCATATTTTTGCGTAAGTTCTGCTTTCAGTAATTGATATATTACTCCTTTAAAAAAGTCTAAGAACACGACTATTATGCAAAAATTAAAGGAATGTGTCCATTACTGCTCTTTTTCCCTTATATGATTGGATTTTAACGAACTATAATTTTTAATTAAACTTAAGACTAAGTCAATAACAGATATTGTTCTCTATTTCCTTCCAAAAAAAAGTAAGATTTACCACATTATGCTGAGTTTAAGCTCTACATTTTTTAAAATTCTAGATGTCTGACAACAATCAATCATTATTTGTAATAATAATTAAAGCCTAACAAACTTTAAAAAATTGAAGGCACCAAAGGCGGACGGTTTATGCGAAAAGCTGTTGACAAACTAAGAGTAGTCAATTTTTTATTTTACGATTTGATTGGTGATTTGTTTTACTTTAATATAAATAGAAATGGCTAAAATCGAATCCAAACTTTTGTATTCAGTTAGAGATGAGACTTCGCGTACACTTATTCTATTATGGCACAAGAAGTTATTTTTGGCCTTTCAATTAAAAGGAATTTTTCAAAATTAAAAAAGTTTTTTGAAGACGAGCACTTTGACGAAGGTGTTTCTCTTTCAGATGGAGAGACTCTAAAAACGAACATTAAAAATTGGAACACTCTAAAAGAGTTGGTCAAGTGCAATAAGTTAGAGTTAATTAAGTTATTTTTACAAAGGTTTCCGGAGACGGACATTACATCAAATAAAAACGAACTGGTTATATTATTAACTTTCACTTTCTACCTTTTGCCTTTTTTGACTCACCCTATTCAAAGATTTGCTTGGCAGCTCGGAAAAATCACTTTCAAATTTTTGAATTTTTAGCAGGTATAGGAGCAGATATGCATGCTAACGACGAGTATTGCCTACGCTGGGCAGCAAGAGGTGGGTTCTTAAACATCGTTCAGAAACTCTGCCAGGCAAATTTGATTACGTCACCCAGTTGGAATTTTATATTAAAAAGGACTAAATATTAAAACTAGGCCAACTGTAATATTGGAGCCAGAGATAATGAAGCTATTAAATTGGCCACCTTAAACGGCCATCTGAACGTTGTGAAACTTTTGGTTTACTTCACTATTGTGGAGTATACCTGTTTTAAAACGTTTGATAATAATTTATAGCTTGAAAGTGGTGCTAGTATTCAAGCGGAAACTGGGGATGCTGCTTTACGGCTAGCTTGTAAAACTGGACAAGTTGCATTGATTAAACTTTTATATGAAAAAAATGCAAATTTTGCGACTTCCCTAACTGACTGCGTTATACTGGCGGCAGAAAACGGGCACTTACCTACCTTAAAAGGTTGTCTATCACATTTTATGCGTAAAATCTTTAAAAATTAAGTCTTTGGTTCTTCATTATAGAACTTTTGGGGCATATCCGGTCCGACTCTCCCCTGCAGACCAATTTACCTTTGTATTTAGCCTGTAAGGTAATTTTTAAGCGAGTCAGATAGCGGCATCGAAGATAAAAAATTAATATCTTACACTATGACCAAAATTAACTCAGTTTTTTAGAATGGCTATTCGGAAATTGTGCGTGCTCTTTTAGAAATTGAAAAAGTGGATCCAGCGTGTTTTAATAACTGCTGCGTGTGTTTTATTTAATTTTACATCTGTTCTTTCTTTATTGATTTTATAGGTTAAAGTGTCGGCAGAAATTGGATCAATAAATATTTTAAAATTTCTTCTGAGTTATCATGAAAAAGTATTTTTCGGTCTCTTATATTTGATGTGTAAGACTAACGTTAGAAATCTAGTTCTCGGTAACTCCTACCGCCCAGGAAAGTTACTGCCTTCGCAAGAGTAGTGAGAATGGACATTTAGATTGTGTAAAACTCCTTTTGGAAGATGGCCGGTTTCGCTTCCTTTTTAAAATTTTGCGAGTTTTTTATAGCGTAATCTTCAGTGTGGACGTTAATGCGCGCCACGGAGAAGCCCTTCGCCTTTCCGCCAAAAACGGGCACACGGAAGTTGTTAAAATTCTACTGGAGGTACTGCAGGCCACCTTTTGGCTATCACAGTTCGGCACTATAGACTCCCCTGTTAACCAAAAGCACGGTGCCAACCACGCGGTCTTGGAGAACTGCCCCCTGCGCCTTGCTTGCCAGAATGGCCACATGGAATGTGCTAAGCTTTTGCTTCAGGCAGGCTCCAATCCCGGCAGCGCTAGCAATTACGCCATTATAAGAGCCTCCGAAAATGGGCACGCTGGGATCGTAGAGCTTTTGATGAAGCATAAGTGTTGTGTTTGTTCCAGGCACAAATCCACATCTTCCCACTCAGTCATGTTTATACAATCTGCAAAGAACCGTTAATCCTTCTGATTGCAACAACGCTGCAATTATTCTTGCCGCTCAAAATGGCCGGGTTGAGGTTGTGGAAGCACTTGTAAAGAGTAGAAGAGCAAACGCTAGAGTTGACCAGGTCTAAGCTCCACTGAGTTAGAGCATAAAAATTAAGCGTATTTTACCGTAGTGCCTGCCTTTTCGCTATGCTTGCGAGAACGGTCACAAAAGTACAGGTTGGCTTAATAAGTCCTCTCGTATGTAATACTTTTAGAGTGGATCTTCTAGTAAATTACCTGTTGACGCAAACATTGGTCAAGATGGACGTGTCTGCGTGCGAGAACTACGCCTTTCTTAAGGCGTCTGCTAACGGTTCTTTACCTGTACACGGCAGCGCCCGTGGCACAGCTTAAAGGCTCTTTCAAAGGCCACCTCGAGATCGTGCGTCTCTTGCTTGAACACTGCCCCGCTCTCGACCTACAGAATGGCGGCAGCGAGTCCCTCAAAGTCCGCGCCATTTATTTGTGCATTTCAAGCAAGCTCTTTAACTTTACTAGCTCGCATGCAGCAATGGGCATGTAGAAATGGTCCAGTTCCTTATCAACGGCGCTAGAATAAGTCCAGATGTAGACAACAATGCCGGTACGCTGTTTTCTTAAAAAGAAACGTACAACATGCTCATTTCTTTTGCAAGCAATCCGAGCTGCCGTTCAGCACAACCGCCAGGAAATTGTAAAAATCTTACTGAAGGACACCCGCACCGGTTTTGTAAACCCTTCTGTGTTGCGTCCGCTTTTTACGCTCCTTTACTTTTAAAAAGACCCCTCTGTGGAGGAAAACTACTGCCTGCGCACTGCAGGTGAGCGAGGCTGGTACCCTCTACTGAAAATCCTGCTAGAACACGAATTGGTTCGGCATTTCATAATGGCTGCTTCCTATCCCGCTGCAACATTATTTTTTAGGTGGACCCCAGCGTGGCTGGCCAATATGCCATCTGCGTTGCTTCGAGGAACGGCTGGTATAAGTGCGTGGAAGTTCTTCTTAGAGATGACCGCGTGGATCCTGGTGGCCATCTTTCAGATTATCGTTATTATTAATTTGATTTTCTCAGCTGCCAACAACAACTTACCGCTCCGAGAGGCCGCCCGTTACGGCCACCACAAAGTCGTCCAGTTGCTTCTGAGGTCGGAAAAAGTCGATCCTTCGGCTGCCGGCTTTGAGGCTCTTCTTAGTGCAGTGAGGTTACTAAAAAAGCAAGACCACCTATGCATGCTAATTACGCCTTCTCGCATCAGGCATGGCCACCGTTTCGTAGTGGACGCTCTTTTGGGGTCGGGTGACTACGATTTTGCACTCATTGCGCAGGAAAGAGAGCGGGGCAGAGAAATGAGAAAGTCGCTCCGCCAGGCAGTACAAAACTTTGAACCTGTTTTTAAAGAGTGGAGAGGTCCTAATTTAGATGTACTACAAGTACTGCATTTACAACGCGCGCTGACATGATTTTTAATGATACGTTTCTTTCGAAGCCTTTAGATGATGCAGAAACATTGGACCCCGAGAGCGCAGGAGGTCTTGCATTCGAAGGGGATATGCTTTTAAAAAGCCTCTTTACTCTTTGTAACAGCTACGCGAGCTAGCAGCCCTCCATCTGAGGACGCCAGCGAACATAAGCCTGGCGCTACTATCAGCCGTGCCCTACACTCTGCTCCCGTGCTGGGCAGCATCAAGGTTTCCATACAAAAAGGAAGAAGCTTTCCTGCGGTGTCCTACGTAAGAGCGACCTCTTAGCAAGTAGACAACCTTGCTGTACCCCTTTCGCTTCACGTAGTTTGGGAGATTAAACATGAACTTTTCAAGCGCTTCAAAGAGCAGAGTATTCAAAAAAGACCTCTCTCCTGTTTTCACACCGCCTCTTTGCTGCTTTTTTACTTGGAAGTAGGCACACGTCCTTTTTAAAGCACCTACAAAGAATTACTGCTAGCCATGCGCAGGTCGGAGAGTCTTCCTCCTGCTCTTCTGTTTGAGCTAATTGGTATCAAAACAGCCGTTTTTGGAAAAAATAAGGAGGAACTTCTAGGAGCGGTAGAACAGTCTTCCTGCATGGGAAATCATTTAGGCTAACTCGCTTAACAGGTCCAGCTTGGGTTATCCCGGGAAGCGTGGGAGGAAGTGCTTTCCGGCAAAGCCGTGAGTCAGTGGCTTTCCCTCAAAGATCCGCGAGGTCATAAAATGAACGCCTCGATCCAGTCTGAAATCGAGTATCACCACCATTTTGAAAAATAAACAGTCGAACTCTGAAGCTTTTATTTTTTCATGGCTCGTTGCAAATCATAAGCAGCAAAAGAGTACAACACGTACTCGGCAATCTCTAATGGAAACACAAGCACTCGCAGAAACACAGGAATCCGAAAACCAGTGCTGTACTGCCACAGAAAACCAATCAGCGCTGCCATTAACCCAAAGAGAGTTAGCAGGAATTGGTCCTGTGCGTGTATAAAGGGCATGAGGCCCTCCCATTGGCCCCGACAGATCAAATAGCACTTACTTCTGGAGGGGAGCCCGACCCGCTCTCTGCCGTCCTCGCGTGGACCACCAAGGCGTCTGCTAGTAGGAGCCCTCCTTTGAGGCTGCTATGCAGCGCATGGCCGATTCTGAAAAACGGCGCTGCGAGGGCCACGCCGGTACAGCGGCTGGTAAACTTCACTATAACGGGAATCCATTTGTGGTACTCCTGGGGAAGAACACTCTCAAGAGCCTGCCCACCCGGTGCCTTAGAAAATTGCGCTAATCCAAGTACGCGTGCAACCTGCTGGAGGGCTGGCTTAGTACATCGCTCTATGGATTCTCCGAGAGAAGCGCCCATCGTTACAGTCTGCGCTATAATTTGAGCAACCGCTGGAAAGCGCACTACACATTCTAATACGCACAATAGCCAGGCGTGCCCGGAGAGTAGCGATCACCGCAAGAAACGAGCAGTAGAAGAAAAACAGCGCCTCGCTCAGCTGTTGGGAGATAGTTCTTTTTTGCTCTTACCGAAAAAAAGCTTACGCCGGAGCGGCCCGAGTTACCTTCCGAGGATCTACCGCTTTAAAAAAAATTCTCAATTTGCGGGTGGTCAGCTCCTGCCGGCTAATTTGTTTTACGTCTAGAATCCCGTCGTTGTTCTCATCAGCTAAGTCGTCCTAAAGGCGGTGAACTACTTAGAGGCATAGGTGTTATGCATAGACATACCAGCGCACTGGCTTGCCAGGCTGCGTGGTAGTTTTCAGAAAACGTAAGCAAATTCGTTCGTACCTTTTGAAATCCTATAGCGAATTGGGAAAAAAGCCAGTAAGAAAAGAAAGTTGGCATACGAAACATAAGAACGCGCCTATCATTCGAAATGTTTCGAAAGTTGCAAGCAGAGCTGGAAAGTGACCCCCAAAAAATAACAAGAATAAAGCAAAGAGTATGAAGAACAACCCCTTTCACCAAAAGTAAAACTTTTAGAAACTAACGAAAAAAGAAAAAAACAAAGGCAGTAACACTTCGGGATGGTACGGAAGCAAATATTCAAAACATCTGCTCAAAAACAAAAAAGAATCTTGGACAGTCGGGCCATAAAAATCTATTGCTCTTGCCGTGGTAGTTGCTACCGGCGACATCTTGAGCAAAAGTTTTTCAACTGTATCCGTTCCAGTATAGTACTTCTGTGGCTGGCGTGTTTTAAACTTTAATAACATTAATTCTTGGTAGGATACTACTAATAAACCCAACCCTTTTTTTCTTTTTAACCATCTTAATTAATAAAGGCCTGATAAGGATCTAGGGGGTAGTATGTTCTGCTAACAAAAATAAGAGACGAAGCATATAAATAATAATATACTTAAAAAATTATGAAATTAGAAATTTTAAGCAAAATATCAAAAGGAAAAGTTAATGAAACGTTTAGGAACACTTCTGGGTTAGAAAGGGTAAACATAAGTAATTTAAGAAATAAAATTAAAGTTCAAATTGACTGAAAAAAAACATTAAAAAAACTGAAGTACTTAAGACTTAGCTGAGGGCCTTAAAAGCCAAAGTAAATATGCGCATCCCTTACCCCTGCTAGTAAGAAGCTTTTGGTCCTCTGCCAAGTTTCCTTATACTTTTCATTTCATAACTGCGGGACACCCCAGTCAAGTAGATAAGACGTCCCTGGTAATCACTGATACTAAAGAGAAGACGCCTTGTGTTCTTTGTGTAACACTTTTTTGCCCAAGGAGTGTATATGGTCTTTACATGTTTTCACTAAGTTTAGAATTATAGTAAAATCTGACAGATTACTTTTTTTTAAGGAAGTTCATGTTTATAGCAAGATAGCTTTTTATTGACCATTAACGACTTAAGCTCTACAGTTTTGTTTATACAAGTTTTAAGCGTCAGCCTGAAAATTGACTGGCTAAGTGTCATTTGGAATATAAATGTATAAGTATTCGTAGGATGAAATATTATGAGCAAATTAAAAAAAAGTTCCTTACTTTCTTCTCCTACATTAACACGCTAAGAGGTAACTTTTGTGTACTTTACGCCTGCTGTTTCGCTTAACTTTTTTTTTTGGGAAGTTTTAATAGAGTATTAATTAAAAAAAAAAATTTTAAAACATCTGTTAGCCGTAATGGCTTAACAAACAAGTCTTAATAATAATTTAACTTTTAAATACATTTATAAAGGTTCGTTAACCCAATAACAAACTGTTTAAGAGATATAAAGATTGTAATATACAACGCTTAAAAAAATTGTCACAACTTATTCACTAAAAGAAATAGAATTATTAATAATATAAGCTATATAATCGCGATAGTCAACATTTTTCCAATAAAATAATTAGTATAAGAGTTGACAAAGCTTTTATAAGCACTACTACTTTATTTGCAAATTTCTAAAACGCTTTAACTTTAGCATTTCTTCGAGGAAAAACCACAAAAAATCATTAGCCAAATTCCAGTCTCGCTAAAGTTTCTTAATAAATGGCAATTTTATATTTAAAGTAATTAAAAATGTTTATCGTTTTAAAGTGCCAATTACTAAGCTTTAACTGAAGCTAAAACAAGGTTACACTATAATATCTAATCTGTGTTTCCTTTTTGGCATCTACATCATTCCCCGTTCACTTATATATAAGACGTTAGATTATCTTTTTTATTTCATTAATAAAAAAAATTGTAAAAATTATATTATAATTAAAATTGTATGTCGTTATCAATAAATTTAGCGAAGAGGAAAAGTTTAAAAGTTTAAAGATAAATATTATAACCGCTTTTAAAAATGAAAACAAGGTTAACAAAAACAAATTATATTAACTTATTTTTTTAATTTTTATGTCTGCGAAGTATTTACTATATCGGTTGCATATAAGAGTTATTTAAGTTACACATAGAACAAAAAAATGTGATAACAAGAAAAGTTAAACCTTTTTAAGCTTTTAATGATAATTTTTAAGCGATACATAAACAATAAATGATAACGAATGGGCATTCATTAACGGACTACTAATTAAAGTGAACTAAAACTGTGGTCAGCGCTATATTTAGTCATTATACCGAAGTTGCCAAAAAAAAAAGCAACTAAGAAAGTATATTTAGAGAAAGCGCAGACAAACCAACTAAAGCAACCATGCTGGGCAGACGCACTTTTTCTCTTAAAGTGAGACGTCTAAACGAAAATAAAAGTTTCTTTTTCGATAAAGATACAGCCGAGTGGTCTCACGTTTCTAAAGCGGTATAGCTAGCAGTCACCAGCCTTGACTTCTTTTCTTTGTTTTTATGCTAAATATACAACTTTGAAAAGATAAAGAAGGCTTATTCCCTGGAGCAACTGCCTGTTATTAGGTTCGAGTTAGCTGAGGACAATTCTTCTTTAGTTTTTAGTGATGGGGGATTCCAAGAAGTGTTAAAGAATTGCGAAGAGGTTTTACGTCAACAGTCTTTTTTTTTCCCCATGCCGAACTTACTTGAAGCATAAACAGCAGCCTCTTCAAAGTACACTCGTTCTGGAGAATTATGAAGGTAGTGAACAGAATGGCGATTTCACTGCAGAAATAACTTCGGAAGGTTTACTGGAAGATTTTTCTTCCTCTGAAATTATGCAAATGCTCCGGGATATCGCCCTTTATATAGCTGCTCGTGGTTTTATGATTATATATTTTTTTAAATGTTCGATTAAACACATTCGTTTAGATGAAAAAGAATTTCTAGTTAAAAAAACTCAAACTAAAAGGCTGATCACTAGTAATTGTAATTTTTTAATTTCCTTTAATTTATAATAATTATTCAATATTTTTTGCGAGGCCGAAAAAATAATTTAGAGGAAGACGCCATATGTAAGTTTGAATTTTTTTTAAAAAAAAGTCAAGTTTTCTTATTTTGTCTATAATATATCCAGCGACCGAAGTTGGCCAGTGGAGCGAATCGCAAGTTTCTGAGTGGTTACAAGCAAGCGGGCTGAAGTTTTTCTCAAGCTTGTTTTTGGGTTAACTCTAAAATCTTCGTAGTTTATATTTATGGTTAACAAAAAATTAAAATGCCAACTCCAATCTTTATTTTCTTATAAGTATTTTTTTCAAATTTTTTTAAATTTTGTTTATAATTACTAAACATATATGAGTTAGCAAAATTTTAAACAATAAATTACCTCCATTCAGCAAAATTTAATACCAACTTCGAGTTTTACTTCGTCATAAATAACTTTATTATAAAATATAAAACGTTAAAAAAAATTAATTACCTCGTAAAGTGTAAATTTGGTCATAATTTTTCTTATAATTCTAAATTGGATATTGTATTTTAATTGCAACAAAAACAGTTTGTAAAGTGCATTTTATTAATAGTTTGTGGTTAATATTTTATTTCAGTTATTCATACCAAATTTAAAAAATTGCTGCAAGTAATATTTTTTACACAATTTCTAATATCCGTAGCAAATACTGCTTTTGGATATAATTACGCTTCTCCAATTCGATTTGTACTGTTTAAACTATTTTGTTTCCAAATTAACTTTAATTTAATGGATAATTTATCGCCAATTTTATTGTTCAACAGTGTAAAATAGCCGTATTATTGCAGTAATATATTTTAATCGGCATCTTTCAGGCAAATTCGTAGCCGTTTACAGTTTTCAAGAGAGACATTAATTACTGGAAACTTTAAAAAGTTTGCAAGAAAAAATTAATTCAAAGTTTTTTAACTTCGTATATTCCTTTAAACAATAAAATATTTTTTTACTTTTTATTTGTATGCACGTTCATCGAAGGAAAGAAAATACGATTTTTTTATGTAAAGTGTAGTAAAACTCAAAGCGAAAAGTGTATAAAATTTTTTATTTTTTTGTTTTTACATATAAAGAAAATTCCATTAACGGCAGTGCGCTACTAAATATCGATGATGCAACGCTGATATCCATGGGAATATCGCAAGCAGGTATCGCGTATATTATAGAAATAAAAAAGAATTTCGGCGAATTCAACTGTTATGTCAAAGTTTCTTTTACAATAATTTTATTGGCTACAGAAAATTCGTTATAAAAAATGGCCAATAAATAACTTTTTAATATCCAATCACTGTTAACCACATTTAATTGTATTTTAATGAATATAGCGAAGCGATGGAAAATCATTAAGGCGGTCGCCGCACTGAAGATTGCGCAGACGCTTCCCAGCGAGTGTGTTTCTCCTTCCCTTCAACGCCTGATCAGCACTCAATTGCATAGTTGATAAGGAGGAAATATAGACTAAAAAAAGATTAATCTAATAAAAATCATTTTTATTTATATTGTTTTCCTTAAAAAATTATAAAAATTTAAGGTACTTAGAAAGTACTCAAGCGATAGTATACAATAAGTGACAAGTGATAGGATAATAGACTGGCTGAGATGAAGGAGGCTAGTCTTAGTACGAAAAAAAAGGTCCCTTTTACTCTAATAAATCCAGATTATATTATTTTCATCTTTGAAGCAGTTGTTGTTGGAGCCGTTAACATTGTTTTTAAATTTTGCTCTTTCCATGTCCCTGATTAAAAAAAAACCGAGCTAGCGACTGCAGAAATTTTTATTTCTGCAGTCGCTAGCTCGTTTGGTTATGCTACACTATAAACACATACAAGCTCTCCTTTTTTACGCCAAATGGTGGCTTTATCCCTGACTGAGTTTCGCCGATCTTTTTTCTTAAACAGTACACCAATGAGCTGTTGCTCAAAGCAACTTTTATAGCAAATACACATGAACTACAAATAGAATACTTCTTCCTTGGCATAATTTGTGCCTCATTTTAAAAAAAAATTATGATGCTGTCGCATTTTAAAGAAAGCTGCTATAACGAGTTTTTAGCAGAATAATAAAAAGTTCTAGTTAAAAACCATTAATTAGGATAAAAGGTACTAATACTCTTTCTTAGTACCTAACTAACCATACCATATGAAAAGTAGGGATATAAGTGGTTTTTAAAGTTGGTGGAGTTTTTATATAGTATCCCAATTACTTTTACAAAAATAAATTAAACTTTGTTAGATACCCTTATTCTGTCCATGAAAGCACGACAGGCACCACAATTACCTGGTCAGGAAGGCAATAAGGGCCTTCAATTTAATAATAGATGTCCCGTTTGGAATGCCCCTAAGGTCCAGGCGACTTTAGTCTTCGTATTGCTAACGCTTAACTTTATTTTATTGAATGGACGACAAGGCCTGTTCGCTAACAGCGAGATAAACAGCGGAGAGTGTCGCCCGCTTTCCGCTGCAATATTGCCTTAACAGTCGCATTTGTGACGACGAGAAGAGAATAGGTGTACTAATTTTAGATCCTCATGGTGAACAATTTTTAGCCATTTTAAAAATTTTTTTTTTAAATTAGTAGAACCCTGTGTAATAAAGAAAGATATGTAAATCAATTTTAAAGTTCTGTTATTGGTCCTTAATAACTTTCACAAGTACTTTATACAATTGCCATAAAGTGAATTGCTTTAATATATTTTTAATTGTAGGACTCACCTTATAAGTCTTTCTTGACTTACACAATTCTTATTTTCTCCTCAAAAATTTATTTTACATAGTTTTTATTACGTAAGTGGTACAGCATTTGAGATCTAGACAATTTAGCCCACTAAAAGGACTTAGGAATATGCCAAAAATATTTGCACACGTTTAATTATAACTTTAAGAACCAAGTTGAAGCATTGGAAAATAACTTCTCATGTGAAAGCTGCGCACAATGATTAGTTAATTCTAACTCTCTACAAAGCTGGATCAACAGTTTTTAATTTTCTTTGTCAGAGCAAGTTACCTTCCTTGATTCTCTATGTCCCTTTTTACTATCATGATTTGGAGATTTTATGAGTCTCTCTAGATTACTTTGTAATTAGAAAAAGTATAAAGATTAAGAATTTAGTTATTGTTTTTTGTGTAGCCTAACATTGCGCTTCAGCCTCCAAGCTCCAAAGTAAAGAATACGGCGTCTGTGAGTTTTACTGTAAACTTTAAACAAACCTGCTATATTGTTCTCTACATTGATTTCTTAAAACTTCACATAAAAGTCCAACTTGGAAAATTTTTATCTTAATACCACTAAGAAACACAAAATTTAGATATAGATATCAACGCGCAGGCATAAGTTTAAAGTTTTTATCACCTTGAAACACATGCGCACCTACGTAAACAGCTTTTCCATAATTTATTTCCAATAACCTATTAGTTAACAGCAATCATCAAAAGCACTAGTAGTTGTTTTTGAGTTGTAAGGGAATAGAGACGGAATGGTACTAGTATAAGCGGTTCTACTCTTACAGGAATAAGTGTATTTCTTGCTCTCCTGATGTATTATTTGAATACCTCAGCCTAAAATTTGTATCCTTGAGCCCAATAGAATTTAACATGTATGCGATAAATAATAAGAGTTCTACCAAAAACTACAATTTAAAAAGCAGGTTGCGTAAAATAAAATTACTTAACCTTTATTTTAACACACTGTTTATTAAAGTTCGCATACTATAACAAGTATTCATACTTTTCTTCATTTAATCGCCGCAGTTTAAAGGTTTTGATATAATTTTTTAAGTCTTCCTTTTCAGGTTTTCTTCAGTACTTCAATTAAAGTTAATTCAGTTTCAATGCACGCACGTATTTGGGATACACCTAACAAAAGTTGTTACTTATGGAAATACAATTTAACGACATAAGTAAACGCACAGGGCCATGTGGCACGTGCTCCCTGCTCTAATGAATATTTATAAAAATTTTGGTTGGAGCTCGTCAAGACGCTCAGCATTTGCTTGAGGGTTAGCTTGGGAACAATCAGTATGTCACCCATACACTTCAGTGAAGAAAGAACAGGGAAACAACGTGCAAGATCCGGCACCAGTATAGAGGCCTTTTTCTTGGGCTTATGCAAGTTTTTTTACTAAACAAGAAACTTGACCAAACTTGGATGGCACGATGACGTATTTCAGAAGCTGCAAATGACTTTAGTGAAGTAACGCAGGTTTGTAGGAGTGAGTGGTCCGGGACGCCCCGGCAGTAGTCATATAAAAAGGGGAACTGCTAGTTACAGAGTATTGGATAAATGCTGGTGTTCCTACGTAACTTGCACAAAGATGGACCGCGTAGGGGTCCACTTGAGAAGTGATAAACTGGTTGACATTAAACAGTTCGACAATTCTCTTCATGGGCAGCTCTGAATTGGGGAAGAGCAGAAGGGTCTGGTGAAAACCAGTGCTGCCTACTACCAGAACACTTGGCGCGTGTAGGCCTCAACGAGCTCCATAAAACAGTTGTCCCCACATAATTTTTAGCGTAGAGATCGACTATGCAGGGAGCAAAGAGTTGAAACAACAGGACCTTAACAGGAACTGGAGTTAAGTATGAAATTTGCTAAAACCTGCCGGGCAAAGCTCAAAGAGTGAGCACGAGGATAGCACAGCGCTCCATAAAAGCTTGTTAAAATAATTAGAAATAATAAAATCATTGGTAAACCAGCAACTCACCACGTGCGGAGAGGTCAAGTGATTTAGCAACAGGGGCACTTCCCAAGTTGCACGAGGCAGAGCAACAATGTTCACCGCCCGCCCAGTCTTCTGGTAAGCCTCCTGTTTATAACAGTGGAGTTAAAAATATGGATTTCTTGCAGGGGTCTCGACATAATTTACTAGTGCAAGTAGATAAAGTCTTTTCGTAGAAACTGTATTTAGTTAACCATTAAAAAACTAAAAAACATGTTTTTATAAAACAGGGAATTTTAAAATTACTAAATAAGTATGTCATAAACTTAACTTAAAGATTTTGTCTTACTTAAAGTGTAAAAAGTATTTTTATAATACCTCAAAGGTGAACTGACCAAGATGTTGAATACAAAATTCCTATAATACAGAGAATTATAGCTTAGTATAGTAGCCCTCCACTTCCGATTAAAGCTACCTTAAGCTCTTCTATATTTACTACGTGATCTTGAGTTAAAAATTTTACGAGCTTCTTTTTTATAGAACACTTATCATCAAAACTACGAATGTCCGGTTAATTATTACTCTAATAAACCACTACAGAGCGCTAAAAAAACCAAATTTACAGGTAGTAAGGTGCGAGACATAAAGCCTCCGACTTCAAAAGTAAACCCATCTCTTCTGAAGAGTGTACTGCAAGAAGAGCAGCAACCAAAGCGCCTGTGGCCGTTCCGCAGAGTACTTGAGGAAGTAGCCTTTCTTCTAGCAGGCAACTGACCACTCCAAAGTGATAAAATCCTTTTCACAGAAAATATATTCCCGTAAAGGAATAAAAGTAGAGTTATACCAAAGGGCCCCCCTCCGGATAAATACAAGGCTGTGCGCCCAAAGGCTTGAAGCATGTTTGAAAAAATAATATCTTTTTCTCTTGGATAAAAATAACTTGCTTCGCACTTGGAGAGAAACTTTATAGCCTTGGAAACCTATTTATTGAAAAGTAAATTTGCTGAGGGCTTTGTGCTACTTGCAAGTTAAATACTTCTTTAACGTAATCCTCAATTAAATTTTTTGTCCCTACGCAGCATTTCGTGTACAAAGAAGTGTTATTTATGCCGCCTAGACCACGCGAAAAACCTGAAAGTTACAGTGTACTTTAATGAGAACGTTATTAGAATTGTTGAAACTAGCTTCCTTCTTGTAAGACTGTTAAGAGGACTTGAATATCTTCTTTTATACGAGCTTCGTATAACTTTTCTAGTTTAAAAAGAATTAACTTATAGTCATAATCTCTATCTTCCATAGTCAACTTCCATATCTCTTTGTTACATAAACTACTTATTAATTTAGTTTATTTAAAATGTTTATTTCTCTTTATTATATAAAAAAACATTTATACCTATCGTAAATTAAAGCAGCTTTATACCACATTTCATAAGACTTCGCTTCATGTATATCACTTTTTAATTTTACAATATTAAGGGATTCACGGCAGAAAGTTTCGGTGACAACCTATACGGTGGTCCATTAATCTTCTTGGTCATAAAAATAACTTATGACATCTTGCAATTCTAAGAATCCATCAAGTATATATCTTACCTGAAACGTCTTCTCGAGCATTATATAATTATGCTAGGAAGTAGCTAGTAGTAATCCAAACTAAAGTTATCAACGGTCTACATTATCAAAAAGGTAGTAAGAAGAACCAAAAAAGTTACAAAGATAATTTATCATCCATAAATGGATTTACTATAACTTGTAATAGTATACGAGGTACAGACTGCGATAAACTATATAAAATAGAAGAACTAAAAATTTTAAAACATAGCAAATACCAGCAATCTTCTGTTTATCCGTGACGACAGTGGACCTTTCGAATAACATTTTAGCTAATTGCGTACAATCAATAAAACCCTTTAAATTGCTATGATCTAGCCATGCGACCTCAGCATTATTTTATTTGCAAATTAATTTCAGTTGCGAACAATGCATTTTCTAAATTCTTTATTGTGCGTTGTTAGCCCGTAAACAGTTAAAAGCTGGCATTGATTAACGTGTAATTTAACTAATAATTCTCAAATAGTTATTAATGTAAACCTCATAACTCCGTTACAACCCTTTTTACGATGTAGAGGCGCTATGATTCTTGCATGTACCCCCTATCATTTATTTTTTGTTGGAGATTATAATGTTTAATGAAACCAAATGTATTAACTAGACCTATAATTTTAAGACATGCGTTTTTAGCGCTCAAACGGATCGTTATAGCTTCCAACCTAAAAGTGGAGTCGCTGATCTGCTTCTTGTTGAATAAAGCGGTTATCGTGTATTTCTCTTTAAGTTACTTTTGCTTCTACTTCCAATCTCTAAGTCCTGTTTAATATTTTACGGCCTTTTCTTAAGTTTTATCTCCGCCTGTGCAGAGCTTTGATATAGTTGTGAGCTCCAATTTTGCTTTAAGATCTAAGTTCTTTTAATTATTTTTACTTAAAGCTAATTGGTTTACTTCTTGTTTTTTTTTCCTTATCGTTTTAATGAATGGCGCTTGGTGTCATTAGTAACCTTTTAGATCACTAATTGAGTTTATTTTATTTGTTTGTTTGGTTTTGTTTTGGGCTTTATTCAATTACTAAGCCTGCAGTCTGAAGTGAACAACTACAAAGCAGAGAAGCGCAAAATGGGGGGGAAATCCTTATCTTTTTTTTTAATAGCACTGGCATACTATGGCCGGTCTTCTCCAGATCTTAAACCGCTTGGTCTGAATTCCTCTTCTGCAGGGGTTGTGACGAGAGCGCCCACCAGTGTACGTTCTTTATAGGGCTATAATGAATATCGCAAAGGACTTAAAAGCAGAAAATATCGGGCCCGAAACCCCGCCATTCGGTCTAGTGTGGGGGTAAACCGCTAAAAACCACCGGGAGAGGCCATAGTCATTAAGTGTACATATATATGTGGACCGCTAGTGCAATAGCTATAAATTTTTAACCTTTCACAATCTTTTTATCTAAAAATGCATCACAGCAATTTACTAGCGTTAGCGTTTTAAGCCTCCCACATTAGTTACCGAGGTATCTTAAAAACTATATGTTTTAACTCATAAGTTCAACGGTAAGCATTTTTTTAAAACTGTTTAAGATGTCTAGTACAATTAGTTAACTAAGTGTTTACTTAGCTCTCCTCTAGACTACACAGCTAATTATTTATCACGACTGAAACGCTCCCTAGGCTAAAATTATTACCGTTACCAAATCGCTGGTCCTCTAGAGCTACGTAAAACTTAACATTAAAGACGCGGTAAAAACCGAAAAAGAAAGAAAGATCGGAGGAAAAAATGAACGAGCCATCATGTTTTATTAAATAATATCATTTATTTATTTATTTATTTATTTATAAATGAAAGTTCCGGGTGCTCGATCGAGTCAAGAAACTTAGAATACTCGAGCTCTCATTTCGATCGAAAATGTGTCATTATTTTCCTGACATTAACAAACAAAGATTAGCGCTTACGCGCGTCATGTGAGCGGTGATAACTTGCCCCATCCCATGGCTCGTAACTAAGTTCACTCACCAGCAGGCGATTAGTTTGCCTGGCTCACGCGCAGCAATTTTTGTTTTGTCGCACTCGGAGTACCGACGCTATTGCAGTGGAGTCCTAGACCCAGGAGGTAGACGCGTATGTCATTTTATTGGCTAGTTTGTAAGACACACAATCGCCGTTTATTTCGCAGAGAAGCTTGCTCTTGCCGCATGGTAAAGGGTGAAGCGACTTGGTCGCTGCCTTGACCTACCTCACTAGGTAGTCCACGTGCGGCTGCTAGGAGAGTTTTTGATGTCAAAGATGACTCCCAAGTATTTCGCTTGAGATACGGAATTGTCACGCCATCAAAGGTTAAGGGCACCAGCAAGGAGACGCGTTTCTTAGTAATTAAAAGCGCTTTGTTCTTCATCGCATTTATAAAAACTTTCCAATTACGGTACCAGTCAGCAAGGGCGTCAAAATAGCGCTGTGGCTGCTTGCATAGCAAGGCGGGAGACTCCGACTATGAGTAAACGGCCGTACCATTGGCGTAGAGGTTGATTGGTGTGTATGGATTTAATTGCAAAGTCACGTCGCCCATATATAATGCAAATAAAGGGGCGAATTAGGGATCCCTGAGGGACCATGGCTGTCAGAGATCCAGCAGACGACTGTGTATCCCCTACCCCTCCCCCCACGCGCAACGCTGAAAACCCGGCCATTTAGATATGACTTCAGCACGTCGTAAAGGCTATAAAGAAAGGATAACAAGCGCAGTTTGTGCAAAAGACCTTTATGGCAAACTTGATCAAATGCTTTTCAAAGTCAAGGAAGACAGCGCCTGTTGCCTCCTTAAAGTTAAAAGCGCGGGTGGTCCATTCAGTTAAGCGGAGGAGCTGCTGGGTTATTGAGTGCACTTAACGAAATCCAAACTGAAACTCTGGCAAGGCGCCCTGAGCGTCCACAACCTCTTTTAGACGGCACAGTACAACGGCCTCACCCACTTTGCCGACAGCTGACGGGGACTGATGGACGATACTTGTTAGTTGCTAATCCCGGTTTGTGTTTTTGGCAGCGTTACAAGGGTCGCCGTCTACTATCGGATCGGAAAGGCGCCAAGGACATCGCAGCTTTTACTAGGAGGTAAGATATTGCATCCCTATTAATTGCAATTTTTTCAGCATCTCATTATTGATGCCATCGGGGCCAGGTGCTTTTCGTTTGAGTAGCGCTTCGACAACTGGCTTAAAAATTTAAATTAATATATTTCATTAAGATACAATCTATTAAAAATTCTGTGATTAAACTATTGACGTTATTATTTAAAAATGTAATTTCAAAAGATCTATAAAATTTCCAAAAGGGTATGGACCCGAATAATAGTGTTTTCTTATTTCTTAAGAAATTTTTATCATGATAATGCTCTAATTTCGATTGGTTCTATCTTAAGTCCAGATTTAAAGCTGCATTTATATAATTTCTGTAACAACGCACTCACTTGACAGCTTAAATCATTGGGTGTGGTGCGGTTTGAAAAAAGAAAAGTCTGATAAAAACCCATTTCTTATGTTGGTTAACACTCAAAATTACGAGCTCATAACGCGAGATACACACCCATGTGTTTATAAGATGCATGTCCGTACCGCGTCATCCACGTGCTTATTATCACGTGCTTTATGGCGCGTTTCTACTATCTCACTTCCCCTGAAGGTATAAATTCCCTTCCCCTACGGGGTTCAAAGGGGTCTAGAACAAAAACTCAATTATTTTCCCGCCCAATCTTCTGGATACTTGTTAATTGTATTGTACCTCCTGCTGTTCCAAAAGATTGTTTATATTAGGTCTCCACGAACATTGACCGGGTTAGTATTGTTAAATAATTTATCTAAGTTCTCCTTAAGAATTTTTTGCCTGGCGACTTATAACAGAAAATAATAAACGCTGGACCAAGTTTTTTAAAGTGATGTATACACCGGTAGCCTCTAGATTTCTAAGTCATTATAAATTTAGTGTATCCTTTATATGTCTGTTAATAGTATAACTATACCTTCACCTCCATGTTTTTTGATCATGTCAATATATACTGTAATTTTGCATGTTTGCCGTTTTTCAGATGGGTTTTTACTACATTGAGCTCAATAGTCATTCTATCGGTCAACTCCTGTAACTACCGTTTTTCAACTCGAAGGCCACCGGCATCCCAGGAGAGTATATTAAGGTGATGCTCATTGCTTGGTGGTTTCATTGCGACTATTAAGATTTAAAAATAAATCACTTATCTATTTTAATATCTGAGTACTTCACTACAATTAAAGAGTTGAATATTTCGTTAACAATAAGTTCATCGAGACTAACCGAAAGTTGTGTATGTTTACCAAATGCATGAGCGCATTTTTATTTCAGAAGATACGCGTCGTTCTATTGAGTGAGATATAAATTCATTAGTATAATTGTTTCTTCTAAGCGGTGCATTTTTAGGGTAATACTAACAACTTTTATAGCTTGCAACGTGCCCCACTATACAGTTTACACTTGGGGTTGGTCTTTTTTAGGTTTACGATAGAATCAAGGAATCGTGGTTTTCTGCACATTTAACACACTTATACTGGAAGTGCGGAGTTAATCGGTATGCCCGACTAATTGGCATCGAAAACATTGACTTTAAATATAGTACTCTCACTCTTAGGTACTTACTAACTAATACGAGGCTAAAAAGGGTTCTGTTTTAATCATATTTTCTCTTTTTGATAACTTCCGTGGGATGGAAGCCTTAATTTTCCGGTTATTCTTTAACCTACTCTATATTTATTTCAAAAAATATACAGCGAAAACAATCTTGAGTTCTCTGTCGGAAAGGAAGCAATAAGTGTAATAAAAGTTTTTTTAATCTGAAAGAGAAGTAAAAAGTCTGTAGTCTCGCTCACTAGGCGTATAAACCCCCATGCTTCCAGTTCTTTGCTTCGAAGTTATCAATGGAATTTACATTATTTAAATAAGCAAGTTTGCTCTAATAGTTCTTTTTGGTACGATATTAGGTGGAAGTCTAACTTTAATTGTATTATTAATATTATTATAATTATTATAACCAGTAGTACCATTATTGGTTGTAATGTTATTATCACTATAATTATAATTACTATTATCATCGCTGATAGTTTTCTTATTACCGGTTTCCCTGGTAGTTATATTCTAGAACTCTTCTTGTTAATCCATCTATTATCACTATTCTTATAATTACCACATTTATCAGATGTTAAGTTTAATTTCTTTACTAATTCTACTATTTATACAAATTTGATTACTTTAATTGTATTTATTTTTCTTATTTTAATTAATATTGTTATTAGTATTGTCTATATCGACTTCCAACATCTTGTCATCCTCTAATATATCTATTTTATACGCTTCCAATCTTTTTAAAGTTTGCAAAGAGGTAAATGGGTTAGAATCGGTGGTAACTATGTTATTATTTTTACCTCGACTAGTTCTTTCCGTCTCTTAATAAATTATTCATAACCTTTCTTTTTCTTTTCCAAACTCTCTTAGTTGGGTTTTTAAAACTTCTAGCTTCTTCTTAACTTCTTTGTTTGCGGTCAACAAAGAAGCGATAAGTTCTTTTGTTCTCTGAAACTAAAGGAGATTAAAGGGGGAATAGAATAAAAGGAAAAAAAGAAATAACAGAGTAACAAAAAAAGTATCAAAATAAGAAAAGAAATAGTAATGAAAAGATAAATAAATAAAAATAACATAACCGAAGTAAAGATTTGATGAGAAAGTTGAATGTTCTGAGCAAAGTAAAATTTATAGTAAGGCCGGTAAGGTCGTCAGTTATGGCTTGCCACATAATAGATTTCTGCTTCTAGTTCCTCTGCTTTCTGAGCCACACATGTTTTATTAGAAAAAATAGATATATACTATACATTATTAACGCAATTTATCTAGTAAAAATTACTTGATGAACCATAAATAGTTATCCTCAATTATTCATAGTAGGTCCGCGCTGTAAGGTTATAAATTTCTAAACAATTAATACTATACCTAAAAATTTAAATGTATTGTGAAAGTGTAAGGGTTATAAGAAAGCCATAGGGTCACAGATGAAAGTTTAGCAGACCTAAACAACTGTAAAGAGCTTTAAAGTTTTTTTAAGGAACTTCATGTATTTATTGAAAAATGTACTTCAAGCTTGGAAACTTTGGGTTAATTTATTGGAATAATTGAAGTTGCTTTTAGCATAAGATAATACGAAGTATATGCAGAGGTAAGCCGTAAAGTGGTAGAGTTTTACAAGGACATTGACCTATCTAGAGTTGGTATAGAGCAAAGACCTGCGCTGGATATAATTAGTTATGATAGAGAAAGAGTTGGAAGTTGTAGTGTTGCCAGCACTTTAGTAAAGAAGCCCGAAAATTATGTAAAAAAATTCATTGTATGGGGCCAGGTACCAAACCGTGAAAAACAATTGTTAGGTGTTATGTTGATGATCGAGACGACTGAGGGTTATGACAGCCTATTATCGGTGGTTATATGTGAGTTAGAGCTATGCAAATGATAAAGGCAATGTTGGTCATAGAATGCCTATATGATATCCGAATGATAGTTCCCCGAAACGTGTTACTATGACTATATAGTCATTTTATAAAAGCAATGAGCTGGGAATACACTTTAGAAGTTTTAAAATAAATTAACACTTAAGTACAACCTTCCACCAGTCTAATGAACTTGTGGAAGAGCGATACAAATAATATAAAGGCTGTGCTATAGACCAAGTCGTAAATTAGGAAGTAGAGATTACACTTAGTAGATATAGATATATATAACTAAATTTGTAATTTTCTGGTTGTCAGGAAGAAGCATAGTTTGAAGGGTTAGAAAGGCCCAATAATAAAGACGATCCATTATTCGTAACAATTCAACATTCTGTCTTCTGCCGGAGAAAAAGAGAAGTGATCAGTATACTGCTTTGGAGAGGAAGGGTATTTATACCTTTAAAAAAAGTAAAAGAGAAAATTAAAAATGTGCTTAAGGAGAAAAAGTTGAGTCACATATCGGAGGCTTCCGATGAATATTCGCTTTTCTTCTAGCAGTTTATTAAAAAATACAAAAACATGGCGCGTCTTCCACTACCACTTCTACGAGACGAGACGAAGATTTTGTGGCGAATGACGATGTAAACGAAGCGACACTTTTGCTTATCACCAAGCCACTTATTGTGTGCATATTCTATAGTCGCGGATGAAATGCTTTCTTAGTCGAAGTACCTGGCTGACGCCGCACCTTGAGTAAATTAAAAATTAGAAAATAATGAAGTTCTGTAGAGACGTAAGACACTCGGCCTCCGCGTTATCGACCACGTGATGCTGAAGAAAACACCCATGTCGCGATGCCTTGTTTAACTTACTAGTAACCCTCAGTATTCTCCTTTGCAAAGAGAGCTACTGTTGTAATACTAAGATACCGCGACCAGTCTCTACGCCAAACAACTACCGATCTATCAGTTTATTGCAGGCAGTTTGCAAAGTAGCTTAAACTATCACAGTGCACTGCTTAAAAAGCGCTTACTAATGAAAGCCAAGCCCTGCCAGAGTTCTATTTCGGATTTCAACAGGGGTATTTAATAACGCAAAAGGTTTTCCATTTGATAAAACGGATGATCCGTGACTTTAATTTTGAAAAGGCAACAGGCGCCATTCTTCTTAATGTGAGAAAATCTTTTGCCCGAGTTTGTTACAAAGGGCATAGTTCTCCCTATTGTTTTGTTCCTCGCGCTCAAATGTTACCTTAAGGACCGCACCTTCAATACACGTGCGGAGGACGCAAACTCGCTTTTGAAAATACCAACGGTGAAAATCCATAAAGATCTCTTTTATGTTTTGCTGCTCTTTGCTTTTAAATGTAACAATTGAGAAGGAGCACATGTTAAGAAGCACTTGTAGAGCCACGTGGTATCTAACAGACAAACGTCTTATAGGCTACGCCCCACAGTCCGGCTACCCCTTAATGCATTGCTTTTATGCAGATGATACGTCGTATACTCCTCACCAAAGTCGCGGGCTTTATTAAGTCATTGTGGAAGAGTTACTATTAATGCAAAAAAAAAAAGCAAAGTCGTTCCTTTTACGAAGAGTACCTCTGCACCACCTCTGCACCACCATTGTCGCTGGCCTTTTAAGGTAAGATATATTTGAGGGTTAAAGTCCACAATAAGCTGTCATGCACGTAAACTACGTAGCAGCGAAGGTTAACGCGATGGTTTAGACTCAGCATTTTTTAGTTTTTTGCCGAAAAGCAAACTATTGTTACATAACAAGCGATGCTTGTATGTGTTGTTTACCCAACCACTCATAATATACTCACCTGTTGCCTTAGCCTACTTCTCCCCGGTGATATCCTCCTCGATTTAAGTATTACTAAACAAGTTGCTACGCGTCATGAGGATGGCAATGTATCATGCCAAGACCACAGCTTGAGCCCCTGGCTACCGTTTCCTTCTAAATACACAACCATGTTTATATATATTGTATAGCCAATACTAAATCTTTTTAACCGCAATTAAAGAAACCTCTTCCTCGTGGTGTTTTCGGGCTGAAGACTGTTCTTTTTTGCACCCGGAAGGGGAGATGGCTCTGGTGCGTCTTTTTGTAAATTTTATTAGTCTTTTAAAATCTATAGCACTCTTGAATATTATATAATTATTGTATTTTTTAACTTTTTTAAGTTTATGCTAATAATAAAATTAGTTTTTATTGCTTTCAATTATTATAGGGATAGCCTTTTCCTTAGCGTTTTTGTTTAAGAGGAGAGAAAAAGTTGTTTTAAAAAAAGGTCATACTTATTATTTCCCTTTAATTGAAAAGGAATTACTCAATCACGATACCAGAAGGTTTTCTTTTAAGCCGAAAGTTTTATTTTTGTTTTACAATTTTATATTTTTTAAAGCAGTGAAGTATTGTGTTTCTTAACTAGATTTAGGTTTGCCTTACCTTCGTCAGATCATGTACTTGGTTTGCCCGTTGGGCAACACATCATTTTGTCTGCTGAAGTTAACGGTAAAGTTGTGCAGCGCCCTTACACCCCTATTTCTACTGATATTGAAAAGGGCTACTTTGAATTAGTAATAAAAATTTATTATCCGGTAATTCGCCTTTTAGCATCGAGTGTCTTTTTATCTTTCTGACTTATCTATATAATAAAATGTGCAGAACACTCATCCTGAGTATCCGGAAGGCGGTAAATTGACTCACTATCTTGATAATATGCGCATTGGAGATATAATTGCCGTCAGTGGGCCCTTCGGTAAAATAACGTATGTACGCAGGAATAGATTTCATTTGAAAAGGGGCGTCTACGCTGGCAATTATAGAAGAGTCAACGATGAGGTTATTGTAACGAAGAAAGTCGGCATGATCGCTGGCGGTTCTGGAATAACGCCTATGTTTCAACTTATTAAACACGTTCTAAGTGATCCTTCCGACGATACCGAACTTTGGCTATTATTTGCTAACCAGTCAAAGTTGGACGTCGTTTTTATGAAGGAGCTGAACGTATATAATACTTTGATTTTCAGACTTACTTAGATTATAACCCGGTAAATTATAATTTAGTTGTTTTCAGCGAAATATACACGTTTTCATGTGTGGTACACCGTGGACACTGTTGAAGATTCCACGGTTTGGGAGTACGACGTGGGTCTGGTGACCCCCGAGGTTTGTCAAGCTCATCTCCCTCCTCCAGAAGATTCTGTGATACTTCTATGCGGTCCTCCCGTGATGATCGACTCCGCTTGCTTGCCTTATCTCAAGCAACTCGGCTACGACTCCAGCAGAATTTTTACCTTTTAATTTTTTTTTCTAATAAAACATTACTTGGTACTTTGATCTTCTCTTCTATTAATATTAAGATTTGTTACTTTACATATAAAATATAAAGTTATGCTAAGCGTTATTTGGTTTACGATTTGGTAGTCCATGTTGGATTTATGTTGGGTGTCTTAGTGCTTCTCATTCGAAACTAATTTTAATAACTTGTAGCTTTCTTGCTTACCTTTTTACTTTGGCAGTAGGCGCCATAGCTCTAGCATTACTATTAGAGAAGAGCAAATTTTTTTGAGGTTATAAGTAGTCACACTGATATTGGAGAAATAAATGGTTTTGAAGAGATAGGTAACATGTTTCGTCTATTACATACTTATATAAAGAAAAAAGCCAACTTTTAAGATGGAAAGTCAAATGTTGGTTTACAACCATTTTTAATAGTAAAGGTTTCTTATGAAATTTAGTAAGTTTAATTAGCTAGGAAAACTGCACTGAGGCGGTTATTTTTGCACTATTTCTTTTTTCTACGTGCCACGATTCGCGTTTTTGTGCTTATCGTGTGGAATAAAAAGTAGATAAGTTAAATTTACTCGACTTCTGGTAACAGTTTTTAAAATATCGTTGAGGGCCACATAGTTGAAATAGTTTAGTTAGAATAAGTAAAATGAGTTACCTTTGCGTTTGCAGTCTTAATTTCTTTAGATGAACATAGAAAGTCTATTTGCACTAGCTAATATAGTTATCACTAACGCTGTATGACAATGATCACTAAAATGCTCAATATATATATATATTTACAGGGGCACTCTATACCACCAGCTATGAACTCCCCAAAAGCTCGTTTAAGAGCAGACGAAAGGTGAGGTGGACCCCACCTCCTTGATCGTTTCTTCCACCTTTACATTAAACCGCACTTCGAGACGTGGAGCAGCTAGCATGAGTGAAACTAAACCCTCGATAGTAACATTCGGTCATAATTGTGATAACTCCAAATTTAAGAATATAACTTTAAGTTTTAAAAATAAGACATTTAAAGTACTTTTTTTCAAATCAGGCGGATATCGTGGTTGGTTTACTTAATAGTTTGACTAGAAATCTTATAACGGGTGATGCAAAGGTAGTTGGATATCCTTCAACAATTCTTTGTTCACATTTATTGTTACTTTGAAAAGGCATAGAGGCCATTTTCTTCATTTTATTACCAGTTTAGGTGGAACTTTGTGGATCATTGCTTTAATATGTTAAGTTGCTTAGCTTGCTCCCAAGCTAAGTGCTAATTTTTCTGGAACCTAACCTTTCTTAGTAACAAGGTAACCAAGGTTCTTTATAAATCTTCAAATGGGTGTGTGTTTAAAAATATTTGGGGTAAAGGGAATGTTATTTGCCTTTATAACACTTCTGCCATAATGCTAACTCGCTGTCTTATCTCCTTAGTGAAACCTTTTAATAAAATGCTTCATATTGATAGACATTTAGTCCTGTACTCTTCAACAATTATGGCCGAATCCATACACGTTTTATAAGTGTAGCTAAAACACCATCTTTTGTAAATGCAAATTAAATTAAACCATTTGGCTCAAAAGTGCAATACTATGAAACTCGGTTAAAAGTTGTTTTTATCTTGTAAAAATCAGCATTTTCAGTGAAGCTAGCACCTTTAAAAGTAAACTATTTCTCCTTATTTAAGATCAACATATTTTTATTCTGCAACTTTTATATTGATCCTCAATTTCCAAAGTCGTACAGCAATAATTTTCATAGTTTATCGGTATATATTTGTGCTTTTTTTTTTGTTTACTGGTCTTAAGCTCCCGAAACTAGCATCTTTTAAGCTATGTTATATATACATAGGTATATTGTGTAGTAGAAACTATAAGATATTTTAGTATAGAGTTATAAAAGTCTCTAAACATGGTAACAACCTATTTAATAAATTACATGGCCTCTGGGGAGCGCAAACCACTAAGAAAAATAAAGTAACGCAGTACTGGCGCCATTTCACATATATATAACACAATTCTCTCGTAGTGTTACACACGTGAAGACTTTTCTTTTTCTAAATTTCTTAATACAAGAGTATGACAGTTTAAACTTTGCCACCATTTGCCTTTGCGATATCCCAATCTCCTAATCCATAAATTTTATCATATAATATGTAACTTTAGCTTTACCTAACTCTTTCTGTCTTCAATTTTCTTTGATTAATAATAAGTTTGCTGTCTCAAAATTATTTATGATGCTATATATAGTACTCGGTATAAGTAATCTTATACAAAACGCCTAAACACTCCAACTTGGGTGCATTCTTCCAGATGGAAAACAAATACATTTTAGCAACTTATTAATAGCAACATTCGTGTCAGATAATAATGCTTGACTTAATTGTCTCAAAAAATTCCGCAGCCTACTACGCTTTCTTTCATCTATCCAAGTACTTATGTTAAGATAGTAATTAACAAAACGTCGCAAGTCTGTTCTTATAATTCACCTTTTGAGCAGGAATAAGCTACACTTCAATTGCTTATATTACATAAATGTAACATACAGTATGAATTTGAGTGATTATTTTATTTACCAAAGATTCTACTAACTTAAACTGAAGAAGAGTACAGTCTATAAAAAAGTAAGGACAATAATTCACCTGGTGTTTTTTTCACGTGCGCTCGAATTTGCAGTATAAGTTAAACTTATATTACTAAAGAAAATTTAGTTTCACCAGCCTAATATACTAAATTTGATAAACGACTGCTTCTATTTTTTGGTATCATGGGAGGAGGGTGATCAAAAGCCAGTAGGCGGCTCATCTAATTAGCAAATTATTGCCCTATAGGTAAAATGGAGACTCGCCAGCTAAAAACTCTTACTAAGCCTGCGCCTTCAGGGTCGCCAGTTCGAGGAAGACAATTAGCAGCCGTATTGCGTGTGATTCCGATAGCTAAGAGTGCTGTGAAAGTCGGTAGGCTTTGTAAGACTTACAAGGTCACTACTGTGGTCAACTTTTTGTTTTACTATAATCTCCCATACCGATATTAGCATCAAATAACTTTAAATATAAAGGTTTTTCATAGCTTTAAACTTGTTTTTTAATATATCAAACTTGGTTTATAAGCCTTGCTAAAGTTTATCTTTAAAGGTGTTGAGGTTTATATAATTAAGAGGTTAATGTTTGGTATAAAAAAATTTGTTGAGAGTATATATATAATTTATGGGCCCTTTAGAACGATGTTTGCTCTTAGCTAACCGACTTAATATGAATCTTTACCCCCCTCTGACTATTACTAATCCTGATCGCCTTATAGGCGACTAGCTTACGTCGCCTTAAACTTTTAGAAATTCAGTTATTATTTAAAATCCTGTATTATAACAAACCGCAGGGCGCGCACGGAAAAAAGATCATTTCTGCCTTTATGTATATATTTATTGTTCTCATATACCACATCCTGTAACTTTAACTCCTTTACCGGCGATTCCCTCACTATAAAGGGAGCTGAAAGGGTGGCTCCCTTTTTTAAAAAAAGTTACCTTTAAGGCCACGTATAAGTTACAAGAAGTAATATATATGAATAGGTTAGGAAGTTTGCCATTTTCTTTATCTTTTTTTTTAATGAATATATATACGGGCTTGTGGATGTTTTAAACTCGTTGCAGCATTGACCTTTCTACGAAACGCTTTAAATATACTTAAATCTTTTATATGTTTAATAAAAGGACCGGGATAGTTCAAAGATTTACTTAATAAATATTTCGGATGTATAAATTAGAACATTTTACAGCTGCACGTTCAAAGTACTGCAAAGTAGTCAATCTCTAATTCACGAAGCAATTAAGACTACTGAATGTTTCTCTCTTGTAAAGAAGTAACCTTGCTAAACAAAGAAACCAAGGGAAAATTTTTAGCAATAAGTTCGATATACTCCCAAGGTTCATACTTTTCTTGACTTTAACTTTAAATTATTAGGCTAAACCCTCTATTCTGTAATAAACACTTAAAAATATGGAGATAGCTTATTTTTGCAGAGGCAAGATGGTACTAACTTATAATTTTAATTTTGTTCTGTAACATTGACCACTGCGAGAGAAAGGGGTGAGGGTTAAATTCCTGGGCACTAGCTTTTTGAAGCGTTAACTTTATCTAGGTTAAAATGTTTCTCCCATACTAAAAAGGTAAGTTTAGCCCAATAATCAAAAAAAGTTAAAAATAGTAGCTCTGAATTCCAAATATTTGTTATAAAAGCTTTAGTTTCCTTTTAAGCACAATACCCATCCTGTTGAAGTGCAACTTTTTACAAAAAGCTCGACTTTTCATATATTTTCGGGTGAGGCAACTGTCTTCACTACTAAATTCCTTGAGCGTAAGAGGGAATAATAAGTATTTTCAAAGGATACAGCAATATTTAGGGTAGAATAACTTGAAGGATTTGGAAACAATCACTAGTTGTTAGCTATTGATTAGAAGATTCTAAAAATTTTCCTTTACATTCCTCTCTGTGTAGACCTGATAGTTAACTAGCAATAAAAATACTAGTTATGGTTCAAAGAATAGTTATAGACATAGGAATAGAGACCTATTTCTAAGATTTAAGTTAATACCACAATAAAGCTTCTAGTTAAGTGGTGTGTGTGTTTCGAAGAGGCTGTAACGCGAACATCCTTGTTCTCCTCCCAGCAATTCAAGATGTTAAAAAAATGGCGAGAAGTATGCACGCAACATGTCAACATATTTACCTTCCTAGCCAATAAATACAATAGCAATGTACAGTTTTTCAATGTACTTTTTTTCAAATAACATAAACATTTATAAAAATATTTAAAAGGAAACAAGTTTAAGTATAAAGTTTTTTTTTTAAAGATTATAAAATTAATTCTAAACTCTTGAATATTACAACTATGTAAATGAATTCTTTTTGCAAGTCAAAAATAAAATAAAATCAAAGCAAATATACTAGGAGTTAACAACGGAAGTAAATTATTACAAAAATTTGCAGAAATCACTATATTAGCAAAAAAACAGTTACACCTATAAATGCAAAGAAAATTCTGCCAGTTCTATAACGCCATATGAAACAAATATGATATAAGTAAAAACATTAACAGGGAAGACAAGCGCTTCTTCACCTGACCTTCTAAATTTTTTGGTAAAGTTAATTTATTTAAAAGATTATTACCTACCTCAAGTTCTCCACAGGAAGATATATAACAACCTATGCAAATAACCTAAATGTTTAATGTCTATATATATGTAAAAATCTTTGATAGCACAAATTTGAAGGTAGCTTTTGCAGCTAACAGTTTAGGAGGCATTTAACAAAACGTTACTTAGGACTCTTGCTCGCGTACGTCGTCAAGCTGGCTGTAGTGTCTAATACAATAAAAATGAAATAAGGAGAAGTAAAAGATTTATTGAACTATACTGGAACCAAACTTAGAAACGAGGAGGGAAGGGGGAACATGATTCTACCTGATACATAGGAAGTCTATATAGACCCTATAAATAAGTGCAAATTATAGCCCCATTACTCTACATCATAATTAAAATATTAATAAAAAAACATAGTGCGAATATATATAGAATAATAAAGCTATTACTAATTTTTAACAGAAATGTTTGGTCACATTGATACCGCATGGCATTACATTAACCATTCAAACACAAAAACTACATTTTAAAACATAATATATTACAAATACAGCTGATATACATATGAGACTGTTAAAAAATAAAAGTGTAATCTGTTGAAACCTCTTCTCGAGCTGTTAAGCTTCACAAGCGCGCACGTTCTCTAGACGCTAGGCCCTTTGACTATCCACTTTTAGCTTAATAGGCTAAAATAATGTTTCTGACTTGCCCTTTAGACAATCACTACTCCCCTCCATCCTTCTGAATTGGAAGAACGTCCCAAACGACAGAACGAAAAATCCTTTTTTTTAAGATTGTTATGACGTATATACAACTTAAAAATATATATAGATTAAGTCTACCAGTTAAAATTAATTAAAACGAAAGCAAAAAATTCTAATGAGGCTCAAACTGGATTCGTGTAATATATTAAACTACGTACTTAAACGGATCAAACCATCAATAAGACCACTTTCTTTATAAAATAAACATTAAAACAAAATTTTTAACGTTAACTGGGTAGTGCGGAAGGATTTTATAGCTAATAAAAATATAAGCAATTTATTCAAGCTAATTAAAATACAATTTACGGTCGTCTAGACATTATCTATATTATTATCGGTGCCAATTAGCCAGCGCATAAAGATAGCACAGCCGTTGTTTGCGTAATAAAGAGGTCGATTTGACGAAAAGTAATGCTCCGTCTTAGCCAGGTGGTTCAGCCAAATTCGGTAGACATTGTATTGTGAGGCGCGAAAGTGATTGAAAGGACTTTCACTGAACTTGCACCGCCATTATATCCATTATAAATGAGGGTTAGCATTCCAACACGCGTGCTGGAAATCAGTTTACTTGGGATGACTGACGCACGCATTTAAGAAGCAGTACCCTTATGAATAAACTGTAGGGCTTCCCCTAATAAGTTATGTGCTCATATATATGCCATGTGCTTTGTATCGTGCATCCACATTCGAGCTATATACCATGTGCTAATATCACGTTCTGCGTCACGTGTCATAGACCGTGTTTCCACCATTATCCCACATATTGTACATTTTGTATTTCTTTTCTGAAGGTATGGATATCCTTCTTCTACGGGACAATAAACTGATCGCTCCTCCTCTTTTACAACGGGTTGCGTTTCCCTCAACCACAAGGAAGGTCACAGAACGCCTTCATAAAGTAAAGGTGCACATTATTTATTTTGTTTAACTGTTAACCAAGTACATTTATTATTATTTAGCTTTCAGTTAATAAAAGTAAAGATAGCAAGCCTCTGCGAAAGAATATCTTTTTTTTTTTTTTCAGATGTTTGTATTCTGGAAGGGCGTGTTGTGGTACAAGGGGACAGCCTAATTACTGTGTAATCAAATATATTATATAACATAAATTTATACATTAATTCTTATCTTGGGTAAACGTATATTTTTAGGCTTTTTACAGCTATTACCTGTGAAAGTGCCACTACGAAAAAGTTGTGAGTCGTAAAGTGCCCTCGCCGAAATTTATACTAGAACTTTGGGTATATTGTCCCGAGCATCCACAACCGCTACAAAGGACACATTGAGTCTACCATTATTAGTTTAGTCATAGGTATCGATAGTAGTGTGGGGTGCGGTGAAGGAGAGAAAGCGCTCCCAGTTTTAATAACAAACCTAGTGTGGTGGAAAACCTCTGAGGAACTATTCGTCAGGAAAGACTGGCAAGAATACTAAATACGAGATCTTTCAGACTACTTGCTCCACACTCAAAGGGAATATTTTGCTGGAAAAACCTCTATAAACTCGAAGGAAAGCCGAACATACAGTATATAAAGTTAAGCACGTGACACTTCCTGGGCGTTGTATACCAAGACAGAGGAGTGCTACTTATTGTGGAGTGTTCGGAATGGTCCCTTTTTTCAAACTTATAAAGAATTCGTTCTTTTTACGTAGTAACGATTAGTAATTTTTATTTCCGATGGCGTGTATTTAAAGTTTAAATTTTCTGGTGGCTCATACAGTTTTTTTTGTTTATAGCGATCTAGTTTCATACAGTTACTTTTAAATTTTTTTTAATAGCTCCTTTTTTCGCATGAAGAGTGAACTGATGTGGATCGACAATTTTTGCAGAGCTGAGGGACACGAAGTCTTTTGTAAAATAGATGGAAGTTACTTAAGTGATAACTTTAATCTGTACGGTCTTCGGTCTCAAGTTCCTTATTATTCGTTTGCTTTAAAGATCATACTAGATTGTGACTTAGGTTTTTTAAATAGTTTTTAACAAATATACTGTAAATTTACAAGAGTATGGTTCAAGACTGTGAGCTCACGGAGGACCAAAAACGACGCATAGAAAAGTCTGCCAGGTTGTTATATGGCCTTGCTCATGCTCGTTACATACTTACAGGCCAGGGACTTTTTAGAATGGTTGTACATTCTCTTGTTTTGTTGTTAAATACTTACAATTTTACTTTTTTCATATTTTATTTTTATAAAAAGTTTAAAAAGTACCAACAAGGAGGGTTTGGTTTCTGCACTACACTTAACTGCAGCGGGCGGCTGTTGCCACATGGGCTAACAGATAATTGCCATCGTAAAGGACTTGTGTTAGTTTGTCCCCTTTGCGAAGCAGAGTATGCTGGAAAGCGTAGAGTTGACGGTATTTCTGGAACTCGTATACTTTATTAAGCGTCGTAAACTTGTTTCCTGGTAGGCGCCTTTATCGGAACTTCCTTTGTGCAGATGCTCTTTTTTGCCTTTCCTGAGCAGCGCCCTGCTAAGTACCCTGCAAAGTCTGTGCCGCGTGTCTTCGGCTTTAAGGTGCATCCACGCGCATATATGAAGTCGGCAGATCAAAACTAGACGTCTTTTAATTACTAGTATTTATTTTATTAAGAACAGCCAGATTACTAAAGAGCGTAGGAATTCGGTAGTGAGAAATGTTTTTTTATTGATTGGCTTTTGGCAAAAATAAAAAAGCTACGTTGTTAATTTTTTCTAATAAAATCCTAGCGATGTCCGCTCCATCTTCATAAAGATCATCGCTTTGCTTTTGTGCTAAAATGCCTATTACTTTTCTGATCTCGTCTTCTCCGGCGTTAGAATATTTCCACATCTGCCGAGTGAACAAAATATATAGTTTTTTTAAAAGACTTTTTCGAAGAATGCCGTAAGCCAACCTCGCACAGGTCGGAAAAGAGGCGAGGAATGTACTTCCTCCGCAAAGCTTTCCAGAATCGTTGGATTTCAATTACTGACTCAACGGGTAAGTTTCCCTCTTCTATTGGCCGGTGTAGCCAGTTGATCGATAGCACGTGAATCATCCGTCCGCGTGCAGCCTGCAGCAGGTCTACTTTAAGACTATCGGACTGCCATGCCTGCAGGGAACCGCTTTAGGGAACAGTAATGTGGCTATTGTGTGCATCAGCCTCACATAGTACGCCTCATAGGCCTCGTCGAGAGCACTGTAGAACCAGAACTCGTACTTGGCCAAGTCGTAGTCTGGATTCTGCGGACAGCGCAGTTAAGGAGCGAAGAAATTTATATTAGTATCAATAATACAGCGCCGGCAGAATCGTCTGCACCAAGAGGGATATTGTTAGTGGTGTAGGCCACTCCCAACTTCCCGATCGTGTCGTGAACGAGGCCCCAAATATCTGGACCAAAATTGCATGTGGCTGCGTATAGCCAGCAGCAAGAGTATGTTAATCGGCGATGGTATGACCGCAGGCTAAAAAGTACCTAATAGTATTCTTAAAAACTTATTGGTTTTGAAGATGTAATGTGCTTGAAGTTGGTGGTGGCTGCGGCCAAGAAACTGGATAGTCTCCATCTAAAGGAATCGGTTAATCAACTGATGCAGAGCGTGCACCGTTATGCTAACCAAAACATGAAGGCGTTGGTTA